TCCCCCACCCGCTCACCGCTCCGCTCTCCTTCCCCAGAACAACTGCCTGGCCCGGCCCAACATCTTCCTGCACCAGGAGATCGAGCCCAAGCTGCTGAGCAAGCTGAAAGACATCGTCAAGAGGCACCAGGTCGGTGGCAGTGCCGGGGCGGGGGCGCAGGGGGCCCCTCCAACGCCCTGCCCCGGCCCTCAGCCCCGGACCCACTCCCCTGCTCTCCCCGCAGGGCACGGTGACCGAGGACAAGAGCAACGCGTCCCACATCGTCTGCCCCGTCCCCGGGAACCTGGAGGAAGGTGGGTGCAAGGGGGAGCCCCCTGCTCCGAGCTGACGGTGAAACGCCCAGGGCGGGGTGTGGCGTTTGGGGGCCAGAGCCGCGCTCGGCGTCACAGGCGGCTCTCGGGGGGAGAGTGGGTCCGTGTGCTCAGCGCTGGTCCCGCTCCGTGTCTCCCGCAGAGGAGTGGGTCCGGCCGGTCATGAAGCGCGACAAGCAGGTCCTGCTGCACTGGGGCTACTACCCCGACAGGTGAGGGGTCCCAGGTGGGGGCTGCAGGGACGCGGCTGACGCCCGATGGAGCCCCTCGTGCCCGTGGGGCGCCCACCCCGCTGTGGGTGCCGCTCTCACCCCGTCCCTCTGCGCCCGCAGCTATGACACCTGGATCCCCGCCAGCGAAATTGAGGCCTCCGTGGAGGACGCCCCGACGCCGGAGAAGCCCCGGAAGGTAACGGGGAGCCCCGGGCTGGGATGGCGGCTGCAGCCCCTTCCCCTGCCCGCTGGCTGCCTGACGCACCCCACCCCTGCCCGGCAGGTCCACGCCAAGTGGATCCTGGACACAGACACCTTCAACGAGTGGATGAACGAGGAGGACTACGAGGTGACGGACGAGAAGAGCCCCGTTGCCCGCAGGAAGAAGATCTCAGCCAAGACGCTGACGGACGAGGTCAGAGCGGGGCTGCAAAGCCGCAGGGGGACGATGGGGGTCTCTGCTTGGCCATCCCGCTCGGTCGGACCCAGCGACCCCCTGTCCCCCCCAGGTGAACAGCCCCGATTCAGACCGGCGGGACAAGAAGGGGGGCAACTACAAGAAGCGAAAGCGCTCGCCCTCCCCCTCGCCCACCCCAGAGGCCAAGAAGAAGAACGCCAAGAAGGGGTGAGCCTGGGCGGGGGG